CCCACCTAAGTCCAGAACCCTGCAAAAGCCAGAGTCAGGTACCACGGGAGCCTCGAAACACCAGCCCCTTAATTCTCCGATGCACTTCTCATAAACAACTTCCCAACATACACAATCCAAGTTACATAAGCAAACATCGATGGTGCGAACAAAAGACTGGTCCCAGCTCGGCTCGTCGGGGCTTGCCGCTTGCTTGCCTGACGCCCTAAACCCTAAGCCCTCAACCCTAAACCCTAGACCCTAGACCCTAAACCCTAGCCCCTAAACCCTAACCCTGAACCCTGAACACTGAACGCTGAACCCTGAACCCCAAATAATAAACCATTGCAGGGTACAAGGCTTAGGCATGATCCGCTGTAGCCTCGTGGGAGACCATGTCTTTTCTGCGTTCTGCTGTTGCTCAGAAGGTTTGGGTGTGGGGCTTAGGGTTTAGGGTTTAGGTTTAGGGTTTAGGGTTTAGGGTTTAGGGTTTAGGGTTTAGGGTTTAGGGTTTAGGGTTTAGGGTTTAGGGATGTTTCCCCTTCACCTAACACTCCTCAATGGGGATTTGCATCGGGGGCACTAGTATTCCTATTCAGGGCGGTTAGTATAAGGAGAACATCCCAGTGTGTATGGTCTAGGGCTGAGGTTGGGAGCTTTACCTAGACTCATCTATGTACCTCAGAAGGGGAAACTACCACAACTAGTGAGCTGTTGAACCCTAAACCCTAAACCCTAAACCCACAACCCAAAACCCTAAACCCTAAACCCTAAACATTCTTTCAGTAAAGGGGCACTTTGGGGTAGGTCGTGTGTCTTTGGGGTATGTGGCTCGGGCCACTACTTGTTCAATTCTTAGGGTCTGTGTTGGGATCTTCCCCCCCAGACTAACAGGAGCATAATTGGGGAGGGGGGGTGCTACCCCTAGTCCCTACCCCTTAACCCTAAACCCTAAACCCTAAACCCTAAACCCTAAACCCTACTAATGACTGCTAGAAAAAGGGGGGAGCATCCCAAGGTCTTTGTGTACAGGGCTTGAGACCCGGAACTTGGTCTCCTCACCCTTCGAGCGTCTTGGGGTTTAGGAATCAGGGCATGAACCCAGCCAAGACCCCCAAATCCGACTCGGGTTCAGCTTCTGCAAAAGCCTTAGCCTCCTGATAACCCCCCCCCCCCCTAAAAAAAGACAGAAGGAGAACAAAAACAATACATAACCCGAAACCCAAAACCCTAAACCCGAAGCCCTAAGCCCTACACCCTTGGCGGCTCATGCGCCCTGTATAGAAGCGATAGACGCCTACTGCTGTCTGGGACCTCTGCCACCTCAAGCTGTCTCAGAACTGGCAAGTCACAGTCCTAAGCCCACAATAGGGGATAGGATTAGGGGGACCTTGGGGGATATACACCCTCTGAATAAGGTCCCTTGTTAAGAGAGCCAGAAGAGGGTTAAGAAGGGGTTCCCTTTTAAGGGTCCCCCTTATCCCACCTAGGACACAAATACCTCATTTCCCAGAGGGTCCTTTTGCTCAGGACTTGTTTCGAGAATTTGGGGCGAGAGCCGAAGGTTGTGATGCATTGTAAACCCTAAACCCTAAACCCTAAACCCTAAACCCTAAACCCTAAACCCTAAACCCTAAACCCTAAACCCTAAACCCCCCCTAAACCCAAAACCCCTGGAGTCTCGGGGTTCAGACGCGCCTTGGCTTGGCGGCTGGCTTCCCACAGAGGCAGGCGCTGGGCCAAGCCCAGATGCAAGCGGAATTGGCATGGTCCCGAGCTCTATGCGGGTTTAGGGTTTAGGGTTTAGGGTTTAGGGTTTAGGGTTTAGGGTTTAGGGTTTAGGGTTTAGGGTTTAGGGCTAATGCGGGGTTCAGGGTTTAGGGCGACTTCATGGGCGCCTTACCCTAGGGCTAAGGTACGTAGATACATCTCTATCTATACATACGCACTACATGTCGTAACCGAGAGCCTTTGGGGGGGAGGGGGGGGGGGGGTGCATATGATATGGAACAACCCCAGGGCTTGGGGTTTAGGATTTGGGGCATAGGGTTTAGGCCTAGGCCTTTACAGGAGTAGGCTTTTTGGACCCTAAGCCCGACATGCCGCATGGTTTTGCTGATGGTTCTGCTACAGGGTCTCAACAGCTGCTGAACCGGCAGGCGTTGGCCATGGCTTAAACCCCACACATTGAAGCAGGAAAACGTACCCAAGGATCCCGAGCAACCTCTATTCAAAGCACGAGAAGTCAATCAAGTCTTGCCCGAATCGTCCCCGAGACAACAGCAAGTACAGGAATACCCTAAACCCTAAACCTTAAACCTTAAACCCTAAACCCTAAACCCTAAACCCTAAAGCGGCGTAGTCCACAGTGTCTATAGTGCTTCTCATCCGCCAGAGAATGCGATTCTGGTCACATTACAACGGAGATTCTTCGCTTCGGTCACCCAATGAGAGGACCAACCTACACACATGTGGTGCTGCGCAGTTGCCGCAAAAGGGCGCTTTCAATTATTGTGGTGGGATATGTCGCCAAGCACCAACCCACACCATCCACAATACTCAACACGTCATAGAGTTTTAGAGCTTAGTCTTAGGGGGAGACGTGCCCCATAAAACCACATGGATGCTCGACTACCCCGCAAAAGCTTTGCAACGTCTGCAGTGCCAAATGGACCATCTATGTTAGATGCATCGTGGCCCCAAATCCCCAAACTGCACACACAGCCCTAAACCCTAAACCCTAAACCCTAAACCCTAAACCCTAAACCCTAAACCCACAAAATCTCCAAAACCGCAAATGCAGACGCGTCTTTCTGGTTCTCTGGTGCACAAGAGCGCGAGAGAGCCCGTGTCCGCCAGGCCCACCCAGATTCTTAGGGTTTCCTACCAATTGCTTAAAAATGTTCTTCCCTATAAGGGTAAAAAAGAGCTCAGATGCAATTGGCGCTTTTACAATGAGCCGCTACGCCGACTACTTTTGGAGCTCGTGCCTTCCCACCCAGGGTCTTAGGGTTTCCTACCAACAAATTGCTTAAACAACATTCTTCCCTATAAGGGTAAAAAAGAGATCATCTTTACTTTTGTGCTTGTTGTTTCTGTTTTTTTTTTTTTTTTTGGGGGGGGGGGGTTCTTAAGCAACTAGTAATTTCTGGGTGAGAGTCCACCTCGTCCTTGTAAGCCAGGATGGGACGGGTAATATAGGGGCCTGAATAGAATAGGGTTTGGGGGGGGGGGGGGGTGATTATAGTATAATTATAAAGGGACCCTAAAGGAATACTATTAACAATTATTCCGACCCCTATATTCACATGTCTGCAGCGATACCTGGACACCCTTAGTGGCAATTTCTCGTTGGGAATTATGGAAAGTAGAACAGAACAAGAGACTTAGGCACCCCAAAGAAAGGAGCTAGAATTCCAGGATGTTCCAGGTAGTTTGTCGGCATTTCTGTCTCGCATGCAAGGATCTCTTTGCGGCTGGGTCGAGGTTCTACCAAACTGCATCGTGACTGTACTGTAGGAGCCTGAATAATTAGAATAGGGTTTTGGAAAGGGGGTTGTTTATAGTATAATTAGAAAGGGAACAAAAGGGAATCTTACACTCAATTTACGGCTTGTCTGTGCTGGGGACGGGTGTGGCAACACAAAACCAAAGCGATGACGCTCTGCGTCACATGTGGGGCAATCGAGGGTTTCTTTTGCACTCACCAGTAAAGTTATTTGGTGCTTCGTTTTGGGAGGTCCTGTTCATACGCGATTCCACCATCACAGGCTACCTTTAAAGGAAGGCGGCTCAAATTTGGAACCACCACCAGATTCCTGCTAGAGGGCTTATGAGGGTTTGGAGGGTGAAAGTCCCTGGAGGCTGGGGCGTCGTATGCAAAGGTCGTGCAACGGATCCCTTCGTCCGAGCGCACTTTTTTGGGAAAGCGGCTTCGCTCCCAGGATCTCAGTACAAGTTCGAGTTGTGCGGCTCAGGATTTTGGGTTTAGGGTTCCAGGGCCAAGGCAGCACCTCTTGACGATCCTCTTGACGAAAGTGGGGAAAGGGTTCACCTCACTGAAAGCTTGGGAGAGCAAGCACACTTTCTTTAAAACTCTAAACACTCCGCGGGCTCCATGCCTTCAAGTTACGCCCTGCAAGCCCTCCTCTTCTCCTATGGCGGAATGCCCAGCAAGATCGTGCTGGACTCAGAATGTCCTCTGAAAGGACTCCTCAAACGCGTAGAAGGCGACATGGCATGTCACCCCGGCCGATCTTGAACCCAACCTCCAGCTGGCATGAAAACCGACCGGCCGCAACGCGTTGTCACGATGGGAGCCGGGCTACACAAAGGAACTCTCTGTGGAAGTGAGACACTTCTTCGAGCGGCTGCTTTTTGTGCGAGCATTCTGTGGAAGTGAGCAGAAGTCGGTGCAGCTGCGTTTAAGCGGGTAGGCCAAGGGTCCAGGAGGAATCATGCGACACATCCTCATGGAGCTCATGCGGAAGATACGGGCGGGTTTGGGGGGGGGGGGGTTTGCAATCTAGGGCACCTTTGTTGGTACCTTCCTCTGACCACCCAAAGGGTAGCAGTCACTTCACGCCGCATCAATGGCAACCAGGGGCGATTCGAGGCCGCTCTTTACAGATTTTTAAGGCTTTCTCAAGGTGTCCTGAGATGTGCTACGACCGCTTTAGCCCCGCTGCTGTATGGGGGTTTCCGGCGTTAGGGGTACCTTATTGGGGTCCTTATCATAAGGGAATCCTCCTCTGTGGGGGCGATATTAGGGGTTCCTTGTCTTCGTCAACCCACCCATATGGTCCAATTGCCAACTTCTAGGGGCCCTGCAACAGAACTCGGAGTGTAACAGCTGCCTGTAACCCCAATCACCTACAGTTTAGCAGCAATTACCCTTTCATTACATAGGTATAACGCATAAAAACTGCCGGTAATTGGGGTAACAGCTATGGAGCTAAGGCCAAGGGCGTTTCCGGAAAAAAACAATGGCCACTGCCACGAGCACCCGCTCACGTCCCTGGTCATGCGCTTCCCAGGTGCAAGTCCGTGGAGTCAGACCGGCTGCTTACTATCCTGGGCTGGCCCCTATAAACCCTCCGACAAATATTTGTATATAGGGGTCCCTTATACAAGCCCTTTGAAAAAGATTTGTATGTTGGGTTCCCTTCTATACACCCAAATGAGGAAAAGATAAGAATATCCCCAAAAGCCAACCGAGTATCGAAATTTGGCGTCGGTGTAGGCCGCGGCCTGCAGCTCAGGCGTTTGGCTTTCGGGGTCGGGTACCTAAACCTACCCAAAGGCTCCTATGTAGCACCTTTTTGGGGTAGTATACTAGAATCCCCTATGCCTAACCCAAAAAGGAACTACGTTAGAGCCTTCAGGAGGGGTGTAAGATGGGGAGCTGATTTCCCCTAGGCCGCTACAGCTTGCAACCGCTCTAAAGGCATCCCTGCACCCCTCCGAGACCCAACGAATGACAACAAAACCCAGGCGTCCACCCCAAACAGGGTGGAGTGTTTAGAGAGTGTTGAGTGTAGGGCGGCGGCGGGAGGGCAGCTTAACAACAAAAAAACCACACGAAGATGCAGGGAAGGATCTTACAGAGTAGCGGACTGGGCCACCCCACATGTCCATTTTTCGCATGAGGCCCACTTCGCAAAAACATGGACGGGAACTGTTTGCCGTCATCGAAACCCTAAACCCTATAAACCCACCAACCCCTAAACCCTAAACCGCACACGCTGTAGGCCCCCAAGTCATCAGCAAAACCTGAACCCTAGAGCTGCACCGTAAGGGAGTCCTGGGCCCTATCGCACCAAAAACCCGGAATTGGAATTGTCAACACTGATAGCACTCCAAACTTACCAAACCCTAATCCCTAAGCCCGAACACAACCAACAAAGCCCTCCGGATAAGCAAAAGCGCTAATCCCTGCCAGCCCCACCGGATGCCTCCAAGCACATTCGATATAGGTTCAGTGCTTGGGTTTTAGGGCCCAGGGCTTAGAGTTTAAATTAGGGGTTGAGACCACAAACGAGCACAAACCCCAAACACCAAATCACCAAACCCCAAGCCCTGAACCCTGAACCCTGAACCCTGAACCCTAAACCCCCTCATCCCCCGAAAAAACGGATCAGGCCCCAGATGCCAGGGTATTGGAGCTGGCGAACTTGATCCGCCAGCCTCAGCTGCACTCAGAGCCTCTTTGGAGATAGGGTTTAGGGTTTAGGGTTTAGGGTTTAGGGATTAGGGATCTCCGCTTACCAAATGAAGGAAAGTCCCAACTCAGCCTAGAAGCACGTTGACTTTGTTGTCAACGGACCTTCCAGCGGCCAGCATACGTGGATGCAGGTTCGGGCCGGGGTTTAGAACTTCAGGGTCGTAGTACGGCTCGAAGGTCACACCTTCGAATTCCTCCAATGCCCCCCACTACCCTCTGCTTTCACCCCCACCCACTTACCCCCACCCACCCACACACCCACACACCCAAAGAGCGACTCAACCCTCGAGCGCATGTTAGGTCGCTCGAAACCCCCTCCCAACGACTTCGATGGAGGAACCCAGAGGACAGACCTCTGACCCCAAAGGATCCGTGAATCCCAGGCTTGGTAGGCCGAGTTTAGGGTTTAGGGGTTCCTTGCATGATCCGTTCCTGCGATTATTCACAGTCTCCGCAATAGCTAACACCATTTTCCAGAGAACCCCCTACAAAAGACTGGCCAAGACGACATCAAGGCTTGTGTGTGTGTGTGTGTGTGAGTGTGAGTGTGTGTGTGTGTGTGTGTGTGCGAATGTTCTCCGGCGATAGAGCCCCAGGATCCGTCGGCTGAGAAAGGCTTAGGGTTTAGGGTTTAGGGTTTGGGGTTTAGGCTTGAGGGTTTAGCTTACAACCCAAACCCTCTCTCTTTCTGGCCTTGCACTGCCATGCGTGGAAGGCTTTTTGCCCACAGTTTATGTTGACAGCCCCACTTGGGGGGAGCGCTGCGTGGGTCTTCGACCGCTATCCTATAAACCAAGGCCCGAAACCCCGAAAAAAAGCCCCAAAAGCCACCCGAAGCCCTAAACCCTAACCCGGAAAGCCCCAAAAGCCCCCAAAGCCGCCCCAAGCCCTAAACCCTAAACCTAAACCCCAAACCCTAAACCCTAAACCCTAAACCCTAAACCCTAAACCCTAAACCCTAAACCCTAAACCCTAAACCCTAAACCCTAAACCCTAAACCCTAAACCCTAAACCCTATAAACCCTAAACCCTAGACCCTAAAGCCCTCAACTTTTTGAGGCGCCTTAAAAGGCGCAGGGTCTGCACGGAGGTGGCCGGCACGTCGTGGAGGAACAAGTTGAGGAGGCCATCCACAAACTCCTGCTTCTGGGATACTTGCGGCTTGTAGGGTTTAGGGTTTAGGGTTTAGGGTTTAGGGTTTAGGGTTTAGGGTTTAGGGTTTAGGGTTTGGGGGCTACCGGGCTCAGGCTTGCCGATTTAAGTTTAAAACTTCAGAGACCGAATTTTACTTGTGGTACGCTGTTTTCGGCTTTCTGGGAGTACCTGTTGGTGAGCCCTGCAAAAACCCCGGCAAGTCCTCGGTCAGCTCTTGGGTTTGGGTGTAATTTTCAAACCCTAAACCCTAAACCCTAAACCCAAAATTATTTTGGGGCTTGCAAATACAATTGCAACTTGCAAACCATAAATCTCCAAGTGCAATGCAGGAACCTAGTTATTCGTTCTGCCTTCCAAGTCGTACTCATTCTGTGGGGGAGACTGTCGTGCACACCGTAGTGGACACCGCTGTGGACACTGCTTTAGCAAAATGGTGAAACAAAATGTTGCACGCGTCATCAGGCCTCAGGCGTCGTGAACGCACACAACCCACAATGGTGCTACCCAAGTGTGCCAGACTGTCCTCACAATCACCGTCGCCAAGCCCTCAAGCCTACAGCCGACCCCTATAACACCCTCAACCCTAAACCCCAAACCCGAGAAAACCTGACCAAGGCGCCTCGCGCGTCAACTCTCCACCGCCATCGACCTGGGAAAGGTTTCGGCTCGGATGTTTCAGGGTTTCGGCGAATGGCGTTTTTACTAGGACTTCGTTTTCGATGTCGGTCTGAACCTCCGTACATGACTCAGACTGCGACACACATGCAATCTTAGGCCTCTTCGACGGCTCGGTGTTGGCAACTGTCCAGGCTCACGTGTCTGTGGGACTGTACTAGAAATAGTGTATTTGCTCGACTACGGAATTATAGGCAGTTTAACATATCGACTACAGCCTCTCGCGTGGCGCGCTTTGATTCACATCTTGCTAGAAACATGTTTCCGAGTTATGGCTTTATAAGGATTATACAGGGGAGTAAGGGTAATAAGCAACTATAAGTTATGTTCAAACCTGCCCCTGGCTAGGTGTCAGGTAATTATGGGAGTATCCTTCACAGAGCTTGCTTCGTCACCGCCAGCGCCGCCTGGCACCGAGTTAAAGGTAACGAGCAAGCGATTTGGGATTTACGATAATAAGGGACCCCTACGTAATAGAGACCCTCAAAGTAGTAGGATCCCCTTTATAATAAGGACCCCAATGAGGTACCCCTATTTTCGGAAACCCCCATTGTGGAATCCTAACCTGCGAACAGGGGTGTCGGGCTTGAATAACGTTGTTCATGGCCTGGGCCTATCGCCTGGGCTCGAAGCAGGTTATGTTAGGGGATGGATTAGGGGGACCCTTGGGGATAAAGACCCTCTGAATAAGGTCCCTGTTTAACAGAGCCAGAAGAGGGTTAAGAAGGGGTTCCCTTTTAAGGGTCCGCCCTTATCCTACCTAGGATTATGTCAAGAGGCATCCAGCATCTCGAAAACGTCGTGCATGGTGGAGATGTTACTTTTGGCACGCAGCTCCTGTCTGTGGGTTTGGGGGAGAGGGGAGGGGTTGGGGTGTGGCTGTTGTTGAACACCCCTCTCTGAAAGTCTCTTCGGTCTAGTAACAGAGGGCACAGGTGCCCTTGTTAAGGGCAATATAAACCCTAAACCCTAAACCCTAAACCCTAAATAGACGAGTGTAGGTCATACCATGTTCCCATCGGGGCCGCTGGCAGAAGAGAGCAGGCATCCATCAACCATGACACTCTCGGGCTCTGGGGTTTCGGGCTTCGGGCTTAGGGGTTCTAAACCTTAAGCCCAGAACCCTAAACCTGAAAAACTTCAACCCGAAAGCTTAGAATGCCGCAACCCCTAAACTCTAAACTGAAACCCAAGGCCAAAGCTGCAGACCCATTTGCATCTCCTGTAATCTGCACCCCCCCCCCCCCCCCTCCCCACTATAATTTGCATGAGAATTCCGGGGTGGATTGGGGGGGCGGGGGGGGGGGGGCATCTACAGGTATATGCTCACTTCTCTGAAATATGGTTCCTTTTGGGGTCCTCAATATAAAACGGCCCTTCTTACTTAGGGTACCCCCCTAAGAAGGGAGGGACCCTAATGTTTGAGAACGGACCATACAAGGCAGGGCCCTGCAAGCTTTCTCGGAATCGGAGAGACGAAGCCTCAGCACCCCTGAACCCTAACCCTAAACCCTAAACCCTAAACCCCTAAACCCTAAACCCTAAACCCTAAACCCTAAAACGAAGCTGGGAGGGTCCTCTGGGATGATGTCAATGGGCACGAGGGACATCTCTTCCATCGTCAGCGTCCCAGAACCTCCAGGGGTTGTAGGTACACGTTCAAGGACGTCGAGTAGCGCACATAGGGCTTGAGGAATAGAACTTAGGGTTTAAAGCTTGCCATTAGCTCTTACTCACATGATGGTCGCCAGGCGAGAGAGCATCAAACAAGGACCCCAAGAAGGTACCCAAAATTTCGGAAACCCCCATGTCAAAACACTGTTGGAGCAACGGGCACTTCCACTTCCCAGCACCGTTTGGGCTTGAAATACCAAGCCCCTCATGGACATATCCAACTGCGCGGGAGCACCATCTCTGTCAATCTCGCCGAAGACTGCCAGCAGCCTGCCGTGGGCTCCGGACTCCGTGCTTCGTGCTCCGCTTGAAGATTGATGGTTGGGTAGAAGAAGGGTGTAAGGCCGGGTATAGCTACCCATGAACTTTCCAAGTAAGCTCTGTAAAGCCTGCACTCTTAGAGTGACCCCTCACATGGGACGTTGATGTCAATTTGTGTTGTGCTCCAAGCCTGGCCCTAAGACCCCAAACCCAAGCTACGATTAAGCCCTAAACCCTAGACCCTACAGCCCTAAACCCGAAACCCTAAACCCTGAACCCTAAACCCATGAACCTTCAAGTAGGCTGGGGGATGCATGATACATGAGGCCATGGTCGGCGCGGATCTGCAGGCCAAGGGGGGGGGGGGGGGACCAGATTCGTGGCTCGGGGTTTGGGATTCAGCCCGTCGGCCCAAACCTCTTTCCCGCCTTGGCATCTCATTCTGCAACTTCTCTCTCAAATCAAGCTTCTCCAACCTCAGCAGAGTTGCATTTGCATTTCACCTACACTATGAGATCAATGGACACGAACTAGCGCGTTCTTGTTTCACAGTTGGGTGAACTGATATATCAAGACATCGAGCTCCGAAACATCAGACCAAGGTGCTCTTTGTCAGCGGACGCATTGGCAAGTGCCCCTTCCACCAGTACAGCAGTCACCAAATTCCTTGGAAGCACACATTCTCTTGAGCGCACTTGAGTTGGCTTGGTGAGAAGCACCGTAGAGTCGAGACAGTGCTTAGGAAATGCTGATCTAAGGGTTACATGGTCCCGTAGTATGGGCCCTTCAAAGGGTACCCAGCCTGAGCTGCTCAAGCTTCAGAAGCCAACCAAGCCCCAACCATCCCCAGCCCCAGGGTTTAGGGTTTAGGGTTTAGGGTTTAGGGTTTAGGGTTTAGGTGTAGCTAACCCTGGCTTTAGGGAAGCCCTAATCCAGGACCACCTTCGGCCTCGATCCATAAAAAGGGAAAGCCCGAATCCTTGATGTGGTCTGTTCATGTCCGTTCCAAAAGATTGTTGCGGTTGCCGTCGCCCAATAATGATAGAAATACCCTAGATTCAAAGGAACTATTCTTGGACACCGGAGTGGTTTAAGGTTAAGGCTGAAGTATGTCGAAGTTAAGCTTCGTAGACGTGCATGCGGTGAAATCGTTGTTATGTGTTTGCGCAGCCGTTTTTTGGGGCGTGTAGGTGCTGCATGGGCAACGTCATGCACGCCAACAGGCGTGCCAACAACTAAAGCTAAACCAGGCTCAAGTATATGCCACATGGGTACATGGCCCTTTTGGGTTCTGGGCTCGTGTGCAAGTGTTGCAAGGCTTGCGGCAACGGAGTGAGTCTAAAGAACGTCAAGCTTCATCAATGCAACCGAGACGAAGAGCACGATGAAGAAGAAGTACCTCAGGCAGGGCTTTCGGATCTGGGGTTTAGGGTTCAGGAGGTAGGTTCAGGATTTCGGATTTAGGGTTTAGGGTTAGGGAGCAAGTCAACCCTTAAACCCTGAACCTCCATGCCTGCAAGCCTCACCCAGCATCACTGTCCCTCGAGCCCTTCTACCCGACACTTCTCCCTTTGCCCTAAACCCCCAACCTGTTCTTTTACAACTTCAAAACCACCTCGCATGACTCCTTCGCAACATAAGAATCAGCGGGGCCGTTAAAAAAAAGATTAAGTACTGCTGGGCATCTTAGTCAAAACCCTAAACCCTAAACCCTAAACCCTAAGCTCTAAACCCTAAACCCTAAACCCTAAACCCTGCCCGTGACTACAGGAGCTCTGTTCCAAGGCACAGTGTGAGGCTCGGCTTTTCGGTAATGAGCGGCGAGTAGATGGGCGCAACCGAGTCGAGGGTCACCTTGGGGTTTAGGGTTTAGGGTTTAGGGTTTAGGATTAGGGTTTAGGGGTAATAAGGTTGAGGGATGTTAAGGGTTCAGGGTCAGGGCTTTCTTCGACCCCTTTGTACCCTCGTTGCTCTTGCTCAAGCAGGGTTCTTAAAGATAATGCTCTACTGTTAGATGCTGCGTGTTCAATGTGACTGCTTATCGGTTGCCCCCTCCATCAAGAAACTCCAGTGACATTGTAAAGTAGCCGGAAAAGCTTGCGCCGAGCCACGAAAGAGGAGAGCGTCAGGAGGGTCATGAACAAAGACCCGAAATACCTGAGTGCAGGGGGAGAGAGAGAGCCCGATACGACTCCCTGTTATCCTTGAAGGGTTTAGGGTTTAGGGGGTTTAGGGGGTTTAGGGGGTTTAGGGGGTTTAGGGGGTTTAGGGTTTAGGGGGGTGCGCTGGTCGAAGAAAAAAGAGTAGAGTTGGCCTCTCTGGGCATGCGGTGTGGAGAGGCATGCGATACTCTTATGTTAGGAGAACAAGGGTACTCTTGTGGGTTGCTAAGGGAGCCTAAACCCCTACATGCATACAACCCTAAACACTAGCCCCTAAGAGAGGGAACAAGGGCACGACGGACCTCCGAGTGAACCGGAGACCCTGGGAGCACAACGCTTCTAGGGCTCCTAAACCCTGAAGCCTGGAACCCTAAACCCTAAACCCTCAACCCTAAACCCTAAAGGGCCCGTGCTGGAGTCATCGGATCCATGGTGCTGGCTCACGATGCCTGCTGTTTCTTCCGTCTGGGAGAGGCTGGCGTCCTCGCGCACGCGAGGACACAGCTGATCCAACTCAGTGGCCGGAAGGTTAACCCTAAGGGTCCATGTACCTTATTATTGTACTTGGGCCCTAAAGCCCCTGACTAGGAAGCACTTCAAGGCCCAAGTATTCCCTACTTCGGCACATGGACCCTTAGGGTAACCCCACTAAATCATCATCCCGAGAAACACCAGGACCCTTCTCTCCCTGGGGAGAGCACATCCTTTCATGAGCTCGCTGCCCCGAGTCCAGGTGAGATGCAATACATACACCTGCTAACTACTTCGAAAGGTTGGCCTCTTCTAGTCTATAATTAGTTGCACTTGCTCTACTTCATATCCCAGAGGGTCCCATTTGTTACGATATTGAGGATTTCCAGACACCCAGAAGTGGGTTCTTGGGCACCTCATTCCATCGTGGCGCTGCAACACCTTTGGGCCTGTGGGTCTCTGAGTTTATGCATGAACCCTAAACCGAATGCTTCGATGTTCTCAGCATCGGATTGTTCCGAAAGGTCCTGTCACTAACCCCCCCACAAGACGGTCATTTGTGGTGCCAAGATGGACCCGCTTGGAGTACTCCATATAGCTATTCTGCTAGTTTTGTGTTTTAAGAATGCGTGTGCAAGTTACTCCAGGCAGGTCCATAAGCGATGTGTTCTTTAAGGTACCTATAATCGTAGACGGGGGTCGCCGTCTGCTCGTAGGCTTTGGGTGCGTGGGGGTTTGGGCGCTGATCTTTCTCCTTGTTCTGTTGTGTTGCTTGGTAGCCCAGTAACCATGTCCTAATAAGGGCACCCTGTTTAAAGATGGTTGCTTTATAGGGGAGCCTTGAACAAAACCACAAAAAAGGGAGAAAAAGGCGTACCAGTAATCAGTACCATGAACCTCCAAGCAGTCCTTGGTGATGACTTCAATGCCAAGGCAGGCCGCGATGTACAGGGTCAGTATCACCAGCACCTCATATGAAGTAGAGTGTATATTTCTTGTACCCCCAAAAGGACACCAGGTATATACACTCACCAAAAGTGAACCCTAAACCCTAAACCCTAAACCCTAAACCCTAAACCCTAAACCCTAAACCCTAAACCCTAAACGAACCTTATATGCACTCACCAAAAACAGTAATATATGCCCTGCTTGATATCAGGATTCAAGCTTTGCGAGTCCATGGCTAAGAGCTTTGAAGCAACCTTGGGGTTTAGGGTTTAGGGTTTAGGGTTTAGGGTTTAACCCCTCCAGCCCTGAAAACCTCAAAGCCCCGTCAGCTTTGGACAATCGCTATCCTTTCGAGAAGAACTGCCTCCTATCGTAAGTTTAAGGGGTGTGGGGGTAAGGGGTAAGAGTTAAGAGTTTCAAGCGGTTCCGGGTTAAGGGGACGCGTAGGCACGGCAGAATTTGGCTGATACAAGGCGATGGGACCATCGGAGACGGTATGGTCTCAACATGTCTCAACACACGGCAATAGCGGGAGAGCGCCTTTCACCCTAAAACATACTTCAATATGAGCCACATCCAAGGCACTAGCGTCGATAGCATGGCGTTTGCCGATGTGAGAAGACCGCTCACAAGGCGCCAAACGGTTCGAAACCTCAGGGTCGCCGCGACAAGCCCTTCAGGGTTGAGGGTTTACACCCTGAGAAGCCAACCGCAGAACAGAAACCCTCAAAAAAAGGCGTGAGCAGAGCATCCCCCCAAACCTCTAAACCAGGCTATGGGGGGGTGGGGGACGACAAGCCTGAAGAACTCACAACCTGAAAAGGCAAAGCCTGAGTCCGTCGCAAACATGAGCTCGAGCTGGACAACCACAGATTTTCAGCATCTACCCATTCCTGAGCCTGGTTCCTGTATGTAAGCCGAAGGCGAAAAGAGCGCATCCATCTCTGTCTGGCGGCTGCTTCAGCAGGCGTAGCGCCCGCATCAGCCGCAGCAATCGAAACGAGCGAACCACCAGCAATGACTCCAGCTCCTGTGGATTGCAAAGAACACGCTGACTAACACAGCATGCAAAAATTGCGTCGAGGCTCCGGCACTTGCACCCCCCAAGCTAAACCCTAAACCCTAAACCCTAAACCCTAAACCCTAAACCCTAAACCCTAAACCCCCAACCCTAGGCTCCTGCACTTGCACCCCCACACTGTTTGTGAACAGGCTGAGGACTCCCAGGGCGACCAGGACCATGTCCAGTATGCACCTGTAGCACGAACAGGGGTTTAGGGTTTAGGGTGTTCATTTCTTTAATGGCTTGAGGATTATATAAGGAGTAAGTGTAATAAGATATAAGAGTTACGTTCAAAAACCTACCCCCGCGTGAATGCTCCCCCTCCCCGCCCCCCCCTCACGTGCGGAGGAGTCAGTGAGCGAGTGTGACTGAGTGACCGATTGACTGAGTGTGTGGGCGGGTGTGCATGCATAAACACACTACAGACACTTTCTTGACATGCCTTAACCATGTGCGCTCTACTGATTCCAGCCCTAGTCGTTGCGGTTCTGCCAGATACGGATCCCTGTCGTCGTGTTAGCCTGCAGGATGCACTTAGCACGCATGAGGATATGGGCGAGCCGTGCCCTAAACCCTAAACCCTAAACCCTAAACCCTAAACCCTAAACCCTAAACCCTAAACCCTAAACCCAAAAAACCTTAAGCCTCGAGGAAGGCAGCCGCCAAGGCGCCACGGGTCAAGGAAGCACTTTTTCCCCCACGCAAGAAAGCGAATCGTAAGCTCAACGAGGTAGATCATGACCTGGGCGATTAAACTAACTATGTTTAGGGTTTAGGGTTTAGGATTTCGGGTTTAGGGTTTCTGAACTGTGCATATATGCACCGTAGTAAGCCCCAAGCCCGCTCTCTCGCCTAAATAGCAACCTACCATGGAACATGAGATGAAGATCTGAACGTTCAGGATTTAGGGCTTTGGGTTTAGGGTCATGACAACTGCTTGAACTACATTGCCGGAGGCTGCCATCAAACCGATCCATTGCTGCTGCTGATTGCTGAAGATTCCGAAGACAGATCGGTAGAAGAGGGTTCCTTAAACCCTAAGACTTGAACCCTAAAGCCTAAACCCTAAACCCTAAACCCTAAACCCTGACCTCCACCCAGCCAAACCCTATACCAAAGAATATTAGGGTTTAGGCTTTAGGGACTTACCGTCCACAACTACTGCCTACTTAGGGCTGTTTCACGCCTCTGGGAAAGGCTCTGTCCTCCAGAAAGAATTCATATGAAGCATAAACACTGCTAGCTGCCAGTATTCTCGCACTACTGCAGACATCCCCCTCCACTGAAGATCCCGTGAGTTGGCAGGGGGGTAGGTTCCAATGAAGCCGCCTAGGCACAAATGTAAAGTCGATCCAGAACATCCAATCAGCGATGTGGCTAAGAGATAACTGGATCTCATAGCCAACCTGGCAGCACAAAGTATACTGGATTTCCGACGTATCCGTGTGGTTGCAAAGAGCACGCCCCTTATACTAACAGTCCTTAATAAGGGATCATAATAGGGGGAACTACAGTATAATCCCTATTTAGGACTGCTAGTATAAGGGGAACATACCAAGTTTTGGGGTTAGGAGTCCCACCGTGTACAGAGAAGATGTGATGTTTAACAGCCCCCCCACCCCCCCCCCATCTTTCCCAAGTTCCAGGCCCGGGTCCAAGTATCAAAATCCGGGAAACACGAGCTTAATGGCACTTCTGACTCGGGAACACTCTAAAACCCTAAACCCTAAACCGTGCAAATGAGCCTCCCCTCGCCATCCTAGCAGAGACATCTTCTCAATCCTACCTGGAGCTTCCAGGGTAGTTAGAAGTGGGGTTATCAGTAAGGTAAATACAAGTCTATCCAGGTATACCCTGTTTGGGGTACTTGCAACCCTACTGATAACCACCCTAAACCCTAAACCCTAAACCCTAAACCCTAAACCCTAAACCCTAAACCCATCAACCTTCAAGTACTTGCAAGGAGACTGAAATTGGGCGGGATGCAGCGAGGGCGTTCGCGACGATGATCAAGCCCATGAGGTACTCAAACCACTTCCGGGAGACCAAGCGGTAGCAGCTGTAGCCTAGATATGGAGTAGGGTTTAGGGCTTAGGGTTTAGGGTGTAGGGTTTAGGGTTTAAGTAGGAGGGTGGGGTGGGGTCTAGTCTTGGCAAATAACTTTGGTGTGTGTTCGCTTGGAGGGTCTCGGCTGGTTTCTAAGCGTCTTGGGTAGCAGACCAAGGTAATATGAAGTACGGCATACATTTCTTGTACCCCTGAACGGACACCCAATAGCTACACTCACCAATATTCAAAGGGAACCTTATATACACTCACCAAAAAAGAGTACTTTAAACCCTACTTCATATCACAGCACAAGGGCCTCTTGTTGCTGCACTGCATTAGGAGTATCTTCATGCTGTAAGATTCCCGTTGCCTCCTCACTTTCCTTAGCAATGGCATGACACGTGCTCAAGATCTGACTATGCATGTACAAGATGTGCCGGGAGACAATTGTCGTCACCCCGAGCCTTAACCACAAAACCAACATCTCCAACTTGGGATGTTCCCCCTTACACTAACAGTCCTTAATCGGGATCATAGCACCCCCTATTACGATCCGTATTACGGACTCTTAGTATAAGGGGAACATCCCAAGCTCCAACAGTGGTGGGCGTGGTTGCTTTTCTGCTTGTTTCCGGTGCCTTGCACGCACATGTAGGATGGCTTAACTTCCTCGTTGACGAGCGACGTGGCGAGACAAAGTTTACTCAACATCGGAATTGCCAGATAACATCATTGATATGCCTTTGAGTTTGTTGCCTGCCTGTCCGATGGTGTTTTTTTTAATTTCTTCCACTCTGTCTGTCTTTACGTGACGTTGCACTCTCCACCTCTCCCTCTCCTCTCTCCCTAAACCCTCAAAAAGCCGCTCTCTCTCTCTCTCTCTCCATGTCGTTTGTCCCTGTTCTTGCTTTCCGAGTAAGACAAGACAAGTAGCGCAGCTGTGTCCAGGACTCGCAGCGGCAGCCATGCTCACGGTAGAAGTCATCCTGCACCTTGTTGGGGCACAGGGCTTAGGCCACATCTACTCTCGGGAAAAGGACTTAGCCGAACACCACACCCCCCCAACATCAGGTGCAGACTTGTTACGGTCCCATCTATATGGAGATATCCCCAAAAAGAATATCCCAACGGAAACGGCTTCAGCAGAACACCCGCACCCCCCCACCCACCCCCCACCCGTCATGCCATGTGTAACCCTAAACCCTAAACCCTAAACCCTAAACCCTAAACCCTAAACCCTAAACCCTAAGCAGGCTCTAAATCCTGGGCCCGAAACCCCTTCCCCCAAAACAAGGGAAGGTGAGGTTCAGGCTGCCGGGAGATAACACATTTCCCCTTGCCAGAGTCCAAATTTCCCAAAAAAACCACGCTTGTTTGGTGAAATTTTTCACCATGGTCTCATATTCTAGGCCCACTCTATTAGTCTAAACCCCACAATCTCAAAACCCAAACCGTACACCCTAAACCTCGAAAAACCGTTGGCGTAATCCCCTCACCCTCAAGCATAAGCCTCGGCGGGCTTCCGGATGAAAGGCTGTCGAAAGTTTTTTGGCTGCTTGTGAGCCTTCGCTCAGAGCCCCAAAACAAATTTCTTGCAGGCTACTGCTATGAACCCGAAAAAAACTCCTACACATGCGCAACCCATAGACAGTAGATTTAATTTTCTATTCTCAAAGTAGGTTCGGGGCTACTGTGCTCGCAACCCGAAAATGACCACCTACTCAGCAGTTACGTGCTCCAGCGAGCCCAATACCCCTTTCGTGGAGGAAGATGCCGTGTTTCCGAATGAAGATTAGGGGTTAGAGTTTGTTTGGGCTGAAGCCAGACTGAGAAGGTAACCGTTAATTAAGGGGTGTTGGGTTTCATTCGGGTTTACCAAATACTCTAAGATTTTCAGGGCTCAAGGACAGGGTTCAAAAACCTCGTTCCCAGGTGCATCCGAGTCCTCTCGCAACATGGACTGGATCAAGACCTTTCCTTTTCAACTGGAATTTGGGGGGTTTTGTATGGGGTTCGAGGGTCTAAACGGTTTTATAGGACTTGTATGGTCTCTAGGGTTGAAAGGGTTTTCGGAAGTGATAGGGTTTCTGAAGGCTTTTAGAGTCTGGGTTTAGATTTCCCGGGTTTGTAGGGTGCAGGGTTGGCTGCTTCGCTATTGGTCGCGTTGTCTGGATGCGGGGGCTCAGGAACGGCCTTCTTAAAGTTGCTCCAAGCAACTGCTATGGAGTGGAGTTTAGGGCTTGGTGGGACGAGGGTTTAGGGTTTAGGGCTCAGGCATTCTCTCTTTGTCGCTATTGTTTTGAGGGGGGATGGGGGAAGGAGGCAGAGGGCCATAATAAGAATTGCCTAGCGGCCCTAAGCTATTTATTGGCGAAGAAGGGGTACTGTTGGCCAGTGTAATCCTGAACACACGAAGCTTTGCACAAAACCCGAAGCCTTCATCGAACAGATGGGGCCAACACGTTAGCTTCAGGCCTTTGGTGCATAGGTTTGTCTATGTTTCGGGGGCTTTAACTGGGAGCCCCTTGGGTCCCTTACGAGGGTCCCTCTGTAGCCCCTTCATGATGGGGCCGTGACACTCTAAACCTCGCGTGGGGGTTTCCGAAAATAGGGGTACCCTTATTTTGGGTTCCTTTAAGGCGGTTATAGCGCTTTGGGCTGTGTAAGGGGTACCCCCTCTTTCCGGAAATCCCCACTTAGGGGGCCGGCCCAGCAGCACGATGCAGCCCAGATTCGCCAGATGGAGCCCTTCATCGAGAGCGAGCTGTAGCCTGCACGGCAGAAGCTCAAACCCTTTCGGCTTGGGATGTTCCCCTTATACTAACAGCTCCTTCATAGGGATTATAGTATCCCCCCCCTATTATAATTCCTTTTCATAGACTGTTAGTATAAGAGGGAAAACCCTAACTTTCGGCTTTGGCTTTAGGGCTTATTGGGTTTCGGGTTGGAACCTATTCGTGCCTTACAAGCCCACTACATAACCTAGCCCATAACTCTACAACCCTAAACCCTACAAACCCGAACCCCTCACAAAGGCCCTTTAATTTAAACCCTAAACCCTAAACCCTAAACCCTAAACCCTAAACCCTAAACCCTAAACCCTAAACCGCACATGGCAGCCGAGGCACCAGCTTTGGCCATGATGCCAGGGCGGTGCTCGGCGCCGTTGACAGGCGGAGCAGGTGCCGAGATGCCTTGGGGGTTGAGGTCACAGGGTTTAGGGTTTAGGGTCTAGGGTCTAGGGTTTAGGTTTAGGGTTTATAGACTCTACATTCACTAGACTCGGAAGAGTAACCTAGGAATAACAAGGGTACCCTTTTTTGGTTTTAAGGGGACTACAAGAGAACCCCAACCCTAAAAAAATAAAAAAACCGGGCCTACTCCCGGGCCTAGTTCACGGGTTCCCCCCCCTCTATTCTACCCCCCCTTAGGTTCCCCCCAGAATTAAGGCAATTGAGGGATAATTAAGGCCTAATTAAGTTTATTTCTTGGGTTTGGGGACCCTTTTAAAGATCCTCCAAGGGAATATAAGGGCTATAGTCATGAAAAGGGTTACGTCGGCCCTAACTTTGAGCTGCCATTAAGAATTTCAATCAAGAAACGTTGAACCGAACCGTTCTAGCCGAACCGTGTACGCACCGTAATCGGTTTCATGAAAGGCTCGGTTCACTACAAACCGTACCGAAAGGAACCGTCCACCCTGCCTAAGGTTGTTCCCCTGGGGGCTTGGGACGCTTTTAAAGATCCTCCAAGGGAATAGCAGGGCTATAGTAGGAGTATATTAAGACCCCTTTGCGGTACATCCTCAGGGGTACGAGTCTTAAGCCCTTGATAAGGGAGTCAGGTGCAACCCTCAACGCTAACACCCTAATCTGGGACAGAGTAAGCCTCTGTCTTAGAGAGATCAAGGTGCAGCCAACAACGAACGGCGTGGCTCTCTTCTGTTGGGTCTAGGGAGTGGGCAGAAATCCACAACCTAAACCCTAAACCCTCACCCCTAAACCCTAAACCCGTTAACCCTAAACCCTAAACCCTAAACCCTAAACCCTAAACCCTAAACCCCGAAACCCTCGGCAACTGCAGAGTCAGGTGCCCGGGACCGGCTTCAGGGCCTCCTTCTGCGCAGGGCGCGCACTCCAGAAGGGTGGTTCGGTGTTCCTGGGCTTGAAGTCTACCCCTAAACCCTAAACCCTAAACCCTAAACCCTAAACCCTAAACCCTAAACCCTAAACCCTAGACCCTAGACCCTAAACCCTAAATCACTGCAACTGTGCCGTAAGGATGTGAGTGGATCCTTCCTCAAACGCTTCTTCTGCCGAAGGATGAGATTCCAATCGCCGATGAGCAGTTTTGGCTTTCCCTGCCTCTCTAAGCGCTCTGTCTTTGCCGGGTGCAGTACTTCCCGGTTTAGGGTTTAGGGTTTAGGGTTTAGGGTTTAGGGTTTAGGGTCACAATACAGCCCAGGTGATGCTGAAAGGAGGGCTGTGAAGGATCCACCATCTCGACCCTAACATCATGGACGAGATGCCAAGCCCAAAATGGCAAAGCTCCGCATGCAGGTTTAAGGATTCAAACCCTAAACCCTGAACCCTGAGCCCTTGCAATATTACACTGCTCTGCGCAGGGCATCCCCGCCAAGCGACTTCATGTTGCCAGATCCATTATTTGAGAGCACAGGCGTGGGCGTAGACCTGAGAACAAACCCCTCAACCTCAAAACCCCTAAGCCTCAAAACCCTAAACTTCAGAACAGTTTTCTTTTTTGAGAGGGTTTGTAAAAACACCTTAAAAAACCCTAAGCCTCAAAACCCTAGACTTGAGGGGGGTGGGGCACCTGTGATGTACTTCAGATCGAGGACTTAGGGCGCCTTGAGCTTCAGGTCCAGGGGTTGAGGGCTTTAAGTTTGCTTCAGAGAGGTTTAAGGCTCATAAAAGGCCTTTGAGGACTGAATGGCTTTGGGGTCTTTAAGAGTTTGGGGCTTTGGAGCGTTGATCCCCTCAAGGGGCTCTGTTCTAGATGGAACTAGGTTGGGCCATGCTTTCCTTCAGGGTCAGCCTAAACCCTGAAGGGTTAATGGGGTTTAGAGACCAGAACCCCCCCCCCCCCCCCCCCCAAACAAGGACATCCTAGAACCGATAGGGTCAGTTGACATGATGGCTGGTCTATAACTGCGGGTACTTTTGCAGGTCCGGGTATTTGTTGGGTCATCATGAGGCTTCTCGTATAATTGAAGGCTCCCTGGCCATGTTTTTCAGGGGGAAAGTCTCTAACCTTTGGGCACACTGGGGATGCCCTGAAGAAACTAAATGTCGTGTGACTAGCAGCTAAGTGAAAACAGCAAACACATGTGATAGCTAGTAGCTTAATTAAGAGTGCTGGGCATCGCAATGGCAGGAGCAGCACCGCCTAAAGCCCAAACCTGGACCCCAATATCAACGCCAGCCCCTAAACCCTAAACCCTGAACCCTGAACCCTAAACCCTAAACCCTAAACCCTGAACCCTAAACCCTAAACCCTAAACCCTAAACCCTAAACTCTAACAGACCTTCGCCGAGCAACTTCGGGGTAAAGGCCGCGTCGCTCGCGGTCTCAGGGAAGCGCAGCCTAAATTTAAAGCAGTGGAGGGTTTAGGGTTTAGGGTTTAGGGTTTCGGGTTTAGGGTTTAGGGTTTAGAGGGTTTGGCAGGTTTAGTGTAGGGTTTAGGGGGTTTTGAGGGTTTAGAGGGTTTAGAGGGCTTAATGGGGTTTATAGGGTTTATAGGGTTTTACGGTTTTATTTCGGGATGTTCCCCGTATACTAACAGCCCTGAATAGGGGCTTGATTAGGGGGTACTGTAATCCCTATTCAGGACTCTTAGCATAAGGAGGACCATCCCAAGATAGGACGCGTAGGGCTACATTGTTTCTTCTCTCAAACGTTCATGGGTCCTTCAAAATTCTGATGTCTGCGGAAGTTCACACAGAAACTGAACAGCAAGGATACACGAAACAACAAACACACAAAACATCGAGCGGTCTGATACTTAAATACCCCGATAATGAAGATTCAAGGTTTGTAACAAATTAAAACAGAATGTTAGCATACAGGTTATGCACGATTGTTTTTGGTGATCAAAGAAGAACCATTAATAAGCCGCAGCTACAAGCTTAAATGGGGACTCCAAAAAATAGAGTTGCGTCCATTTCGCTCGCACTTTGCGCGTAAAAACCTCAACCCAAATCCGCAACCCTATAACACCCTCTACACCCTCAACCTGAAGTCAGGGCCTCAGCGCACTGTACTCGGGGGTCCCAACTAAACACTAGACCCTACCCAGAGAGCCCAGTCACTGTCCTGGGCACACTACCCGACCTGCATGGCAGGCCTACAATATATCCTCTCAACCCTCAACCCTAGAGTCCTTACCTAAGTGAGCCTTCCTATGTGACATACACAGTTAAAGCGGTTCTGCGGACCTTCCGGGGATCATACTTGTAAGCTGCCCAGTGTGCAGGGTTCATAGCTACCCGGAGTCGGAGTATGAAATGCAACCTCGGCGCGTCTCTGCACTCCGCAAGAGGCAGTCGAAGCTCTCAAGGCAGAGCATCCTCGGCAAGACGTGGTCATAGACTCAACAACCCTAAACCCGCCAACCGTAGGACTCCAAGAAGATCGTCAACGGAGGTACTGCAAGACTTAGTTGTCCAGTATGTAGGAGAACTAAAGGTTAGCCTTTGTTATTCTGAGGTGATTATATTACCCCAAAAAGGTTAAAGGTTACCTAGTCCAGGGTTTGGGTTTTAGGGGCGCCCAAGAGCAAGCTGGTGATTTCGGACATTTGCCTTACTCCGAGCTGCTGCTGCTGGTGGATGTCTCGCAGAGATTGCTGCCAGTCCGTCCAGGTCTGAGCCGGCTCATCCTCTGCGATGCCTGACTTTGCGAGTGCTTCGGTGTACTTCGCCGAAGGTTATGCCAGCGCAGACCCCCCAAAAGTGAGCCCAGATGTCGACAATTTCGCATTTCGCGAGCTCAGACCTTCAAAAGGCGATGACAGTTTCGAGGACGGTGAGCACGGACATGCCGGCACCCCGGCAAGAGTGCGATTTTCTTCCAAAATGCGAGCAAGCCCCCACGGTTTGCAGCGTGCGCGCGGGGCGTACGGCTGACACACTGCTTGGGAAATGGGTGTGCATGATCTAGCCTTGTGCAAGTGTGCTTCTATGCCAAACGAGATGAGCAATGCCTGCTACATTCGCAAAAGACCTCATGTATGGTTGCAAATGCATGTCGAGTGGTGGGTCAGGTGACAGACATGCAAGTCCATGTCCAGAAGCTGCCACTGAGCGCAGCAACCATGAGCCCTCCGGCACCCCCCAAGTTTGCCCCCTCAATGGGGCACTGCGCGTGTCTCAAATGGTGAAGCTTCTGGCTCTAAGCCCCAAGGCCCGAAATAATACCCAGTGTGCACCCCTCCTGCTCACACCCGAGTTCTGTGAAGTGCAGGGCGTAGCTCTCTACGCTATAATCAGACAGTATAGCAATGAAAAGGAGCAACCTCCGAACTCTACTCCACATACCAGCATGTGTGGCTCTGCGGAGAGCGCAAAGCCCAGGGTATGCAAAACGCCGAGGCGCGTGGTAGGCTCGAGTGCAGCCCAGTACTTGGGATTGGCATGGCGGAAGGTTAACGCCCTTTGGCTTGGATGTCTGCCTGTGCCTTTTCCCAAATATATATATATATATATATATCGCCCAAATACCGAAAAACTCGTAAGGCGAAGATTTACGCTAGGGCTGGGGCTGAAGATTCAGGGTTCCACTGCAAGCCGTTGACCAAGTGGCGGCTTGAGCCCAGATTCCCGCACGGCTTGCCGAGAAGCCCACATCTGCAAGGTTCAGGGGTTTAGGGGCCCCCCGTCCTCTCTCTCCCACACCACGATTCTTGAAAGCACTCTCTGCCCAAACCCGGTCTCTGGAGCGCTGTTTTTCAAAGTCGATCGTACGCTTGTAAGGGGGCAGAGTGGAGGCTATTTGGGGATGGAACCCAGTGGACCTATGCCTATAGCCCCCCGAAAGGATTGATTAGGACTTCAAGCCCTCCACGTGAACCAAAGTAGGAATGCACCTTAAACTAAACAAGGATCCATATTCTGTACTAAGGTTTAGGGTTTAAAGGGTTTAGGGTTTATCCTACTTTCGAGTCCTGGGGCTGTTTCCATGCCCAAGAGTCGACCTTGCCGGTTTCGTAGTATGCCGGCCGAGAGCTCGTCGCATGGCACCAGGGCACGCATGCCATGTACAAGGTATGCACCTAGATGAGGGTGCCCCTCGGGTTGGTTACATTATATCTTGCCTTGAACCACAGAAAGGGTAAAGAATGCCACTTGGCTGCCAAGAAAGCCTTCTTATTCAAGAAAGGCCTGAGGGTTTTTGGAATTGAAATTTACCATTGAAGGTACCTTTTCCTTTGCTGAAAAGGGCACAGAGAGGTATGAAGGTTAAAGGTAGCATCTAGGGCTTTGGTCTTCGAAACTGCAGTGGCGTTTCCAGGAGCGGAGCGGACTACTGAAAGAGTGGTACACATTGTTTTAGAAGAGAGATCAGGGAAATCAGCACCACGGTTTGCTTTGAAAGGCTACATGTGGCAGCCAGTGCTGGTAACCAGCAGGGACAATTATGGCCAGAAGTTGGAGATTAAAACTCCCAGTCTTCTCAAGGAGCTGTCTTCCTCTGCCTCTCGCCTGAACCTCGTCAGTTCGCAAGCCGTCTGCCTAACAGGGCTAACACCCTAGGCACCCCCAGTCCATCGTGAACCCTAAACCCCCTGCAAGTTTTCAAAGGGCCTCAAGTGGCACTACCCAACTGGACACTAAAACCAGACCAGCGACCCTAAACCTGCTCGAACCCTAAGCCCTAGAACTAAATGTTGCCGGACAGACATGTGTTTCGATCTTGCGACTTGCATGGGCGTGAAAGAAGCGCCAAGTGATCCTTTAGAATCTCGAGAGCAACCCGTATTCTGTCAGAAGGACATAGAAACTCAGAAAGCGCTTGGGGACATGGGTCATCGCTTCCTCCGATTCAGGAAAGCCCACAAGCTCGCACAAAGTAAAGACCCTAAACCCTAAACCCTTAAGCCCAAACTCTAAACCCTTAACCCTAAACCCTGAACGCAGAAAGCCCTCAGGCCCTGCAACCTGAGATCTTGACCTTCAGCAAACTTTATACCCTTAAAGCAAGGGACGCGTACTATAGGACTATAGGGGCCTCAATAATTAGAATAGTTTTTTATTTTATGTTTTTTTTTTGGGGGGGGATGGGGTTATTATAGCATAATTGTAAAGGGACCATAAGGGAATGTTATTCGTAATTATTCCGACTCCTTTATTACCCTAGCTCTTGGTATCGTTAGTTTTCGCCTATCTTGTGGGACACTCTAGGTATGCCGACACCAAGAAACATACTAACAGACAGCGCGAAGCTCAGCTCAGGCGAGCACACAAAGTGGAGCTCACCACTGTGGCGCCGATCCTGCCGCCAGAGCTCAGTTCGGATCATTTGTTATAACCCTATAAACTCTAAACCTCAGGGGTTAGGGTTTAAGGTAGTGTACTCCATGTCGCATGCCCATTTGTAGTACAACCTGTGGAACAATCGAGGGCTTGAGCC